ACTGTCCGGGTGATGGGGCCATGACCAAGGAGGGGTCAGGTCCTACCGAACAGCTAACAGCTGTCACCGCGGGAAGGCTTGAGGCTGAAACAGCTGCTTTGATTGTGGCTCAAGTGGGGACAAACCGAAACTTGACGCCATCCGAAGGTTCCATCATGATGTTCCTTTCAAAGGCCACAGCAGAAGGCCAGAACGAATATCCAACGGCCAGGAACCTAGAGCGCCTTGTACAAATTGGAGAGAAGATGATTCTCTCTTCTTGGAACCAGGCGTCCTTGCTTGCGATGCAGCGCCTGATGTCCTGATCCCCCAGATAAAGAGTTTCGTAGCGGATCTGGGCCACGTCTCCTTCCTTCCACCAGATTCAAAGATCACGTGCAGATGTATAGGTACCTCGGCGCCAGCTGTGCCAAACGGCCCGCATGAACCACAGCTGTGCTTCCGCAGCGCCAACCTCCTCACACACGGTGCAGCGATAGGGGCGGCACTAGAAAGCAAACCCTTCGCTCGAAGCACTGAAGTGCCGCAGAATGGCACCCGCAATTCTCGAAGTGTGCAATTGGGTTTCCCGAGTTTCCCTTCCAGCGCAGGGTCCATGAGAGTGGTTGCGACGACATTTTTCGAAAGGGATTCCCCAAAGTCAAGGTTCCACGATTCGCCACGGCTTTTTGCTTGGCAATGGGATCTTCTGATATGATTGTTTGAAACCAGACCGGCATCCGTCGAGCTCGTGTGTGATGCCGTCCTGAGTGGTTTTGGTGAGTCTCCTGTCACTCCAGAAACTAATCACCTTTTGGGGAGTTCGCTCGTGCGCGATGCCGTCCTGAGTGGTTTTGGTGAGTCCCCTGTCACTCCAGTAATCACCTTTTGGGGAGTTCGATAAGAACAGAAGCTTTCTTCTTCTTGGCACGGTCTTTAACTGCAACAAACTTATTGCTCTTGCACAATTGTCCTTTTTGTGGTGGGTCCGCTACTTATAGAAGTCTTGGCCATGACGAACCTCCGGCGCAGGTCCAACAAAGAAAAGCATGTCGATCGGCTTGCTGATGATGGTGACCATCCCCCGTAGTGGGATGTAAAGCTGGATGATCCTCTTGCGGGTTAAAACGGTGAACCAGTTGTGAGGTTTGGAACATGCCAGCACAATGGTCGGGTAGGACCAAAGACCTGGCCACCAAAGATCAGGTGGCATCACAGTAGATCAGGTGGCATCACAGCAGCCCATCTCCAGAAATGCCGGAACATTCTGGGAACAACGCCAAGGGCTGTTGGCTTCGAGCCCGTTGGAGAAGAGTGGCCATTTGTCTATCTCCACAAGAAGTTAAAGCTAGTCCTGGCGGTGCACGTCGACGAACGTACCAAACTCAAGATCGAAACCACGACGGGCCTGGGTTTGCATTTGGGCTGGTGGCCTATGACACGGCAATTCCTACGCTCTTGCGTTGGGCTCTGCCAAGAAGCGGCGGGCAACATTGAACTGAACAATGTATTATTCATGAAAGCCCAAACAGAAAGGCCCCTCATTTCAACGCTATTGGTGCAAGAACCATGTGCATGGTGGTGATGACTCAAGTCTGAGTAGCAGGGAGGGACTCGGCCGACAAGGAGCCTGCGCATGGGCAACCAGCATCTCACGCGGCCCGCGTTCTCATGAACATTCTCTACAGCGCTCGGGTCGCTCGATTCGATCTCCTCCGCTAAGTCAACTGTCTGGCACGCAACGTAACCAGATCATGATGTGTTGCCAACTTCCGGTGGTCACATGACGTTGCAAGGTCCAAATACGCGAGCCCACACCTGCCAATATGGCGAGGCGCTCATTGGGTCTACTCTCACTGAGCTTGCTGGAGAAGATGCTGTTGGTCTTCTTCGAGACAACCAGGCGATGATCAGAGGTCAGACCGGGACAAAACCCATCGATGCACCACCTGGAACGGACACGTGGTGTGTCCATCACATGCCAGGTAGAAGTTCGACCCAACATTCGGTCCCTCTCAGGTCCGCCTGGATAAAGGCCTGCGCAGCCAACATCTTGAAGCAAAGCCGCTTCGAGGATCTGATCGGTCTTCGTCTTTCAGCTGAGATTGTTTTCCACAACCAGACCGTGCGCTCTAGCCATATGTGCATCTTTGCTCTTCTGTCTTGCTTCGCGGGTGACTGCACAATACCCCCAAGTTACAGATAGATCTATGCCCCCTGGTCAATGAGCCTTGCCACTTTTCTTCATGGCTGCCTACACCGCTGAACCTAGAAGCTTCGCCTCTCAGTAGATCTTGTCCGCATCCGTTCGTCTTGATCTTGTTGCCCGCTCCGTTGTCTTCGATCCCCTCCTTGGTGATGGCTTCTTGGCGGATGCCAATGTGCCACTCCTCAGCTCTTCGTTTTCTGTATCGAGCTGTTGGACGTAACTCTTCTCTATGATGTTCTTTGCCTTCGGTTGCCGTATCAATGCATCGTTCGCGCTGCGCAGTTTCGATCTGGCCTCCTCTTCCCGCATCTCCTTTTGGCTGTGGCACAGTTCTGCTTGACCTTCTGCCCGCGAAGTCAACCTGGACCAATGCTTCACTATTCCTGATAATTGTACGCACCGACTCAGTGGGACTGCAGTCTCCTCATCGCGGATCTTCTCCAACTTTGTCCTGACTTCAACGTTCGGTAGAGCTTGAACAGATGCCTTATGGTTGACTTCCTCAGCGTAAACCCGAGATGATTTGGTTGCCGCTTCTTGTTGATAAAATGCCGGTCGAAGATTCATCACGGACCACGACAAGTCCTCGATTTTCTTCTCATACTTCCCAATGTTCTCCTCACTCTTCTCAAAGAAAGGCCTTTACGAGGTGTGCCGCCGCGCCGCCTGCGATTTTGAAAGGTTCTTCCTTCTCTCCTGCTCTCCGAACTGTGCCCTGCCTGCTTCCTGTAAGTGCTTTTGCCGTAAGTAAGCAACTGGCCCAGCGGCAAGATTGCAACTTCTCTCAAGCTCCTCAACTTTTGTTGCACTGCCGGAGTCTTGGCGGCCAATTCCATCTCCTGCTCGCATTGGATTCGCTCGCCGTTGATGGTGGTTTTGACCTTTCTTCCAACCTTGGCTCTTCACACTCTTCTTTCTCGCGATTGTGGTAGGTGGCGACCTCAATGACTTCTTCTCACTTTGCTTGTTCTCCCAAAGTTCGTGTCCCTCATGGTTCCATGAGCAATCGATCGGTCTTGACTACGCATTGCGTTGGCACTCGCATTCCCATGAGGAGTACTTGCAGTTGCTGGAAAGGTAAATACTTGTTCGAACTTCCTGATGAATCGTGACCAAGTGTAGCAGTACTCGTGTCCTCTCACAAAGGCACGTCCAAGTCGACGCCCTGCCATGGGTGCAGTTACGGCATGCAGCCATTGCTAGCCCTCCGACGAAGGCAATCAAAGGAATGTGTCAACAGCGAGGCAGCCTTGCTTGAGAAACCTATACAAAAGGGGCCATTTGGGTGCATTCGTGGATTGGTCCGCTTTGGTTTTCGGTCATGTTTTCCAGCGGGACTTGACCAAGCTGCTTGTTTGTCCGAGTCTAAACCTGCGACGGTGTTTCTCTCCTGGTGCGCAAGCCCCCCTTCAATTGAACGTTAGGAAAGCCGTTTCCCACGCAAATCTATTCAAAACAAGGCCGACAAGGCCGTGCGACGCGCAGAAAGCGAGACTCACGCGCTACGCGCGAGGCCGAACGAGGCTGCGGCTGGCGCAAACCCACGCAACTCCAAGCCAAACGAGGCCGACAAGGCCGTGCCACGAGCCAAGACGAGGCCGCTGCAGACAAGCTGTTTCGCGAACTCACGCGCTACGCGCGAGGCTGAACGAGGCTGCCGTTTCTGGCGCGCATCCACGCAATTCCAAGCTAAACGAGGCCGACGAGGCCGTGCCACGAGCCACCGCGAGGCCGCTGCAACCACACAGTTTCGCGCCCTCCCACGCAAACAGCAACACAATCGCGCCCGTCACGCGAGGCCGCACGAGGCCGCGGTTTCGGCTCGCGTCCACGAAATTCCAAGCTAAACGAGGCCAACGAGGCTCTCAGGGGACTCGGGGGCTTATAATATTATTAGTGGAGTCCCCAGATTCTGATTTTTCAGATTGGCCCTTCCCACGTTCAGAATTTTAGCCCGGAACTTGCCCCAAGTCCCTGCACAACAATTCTCAAAATCCTGCTTCTGGCTGTTGATACGTCGCTGAATTATCTCACTTTGACCTGTAGAACGGGTGCTAAGGAATGCTCAGTCGCCCAGAGGACCCAGGAATAAAAGGTTAACCTTTCGGGGCCTTTACTAAAGATAGGTCGGCTTTGGGCAACTGAGAATGGGTTCCGTTTGGATGCTTCAAATAGGGGCTAAGGACTCACCAAGACTCTCCACACGTCGCCTTTTTCGACATCCCATGCAGAAAAACTCGCAGTGTTTTTTTTTTTTTTGGGGGGGGTGCTTCAGACCACCCAAAGCAAGGGATGTGACGTGAAGCTCCATTTTTGTGGGGGAAAACCATCGGTGGGTATCAGCCTGATTGGAGCCAACGACCTTTGGACAAACCCAGCCCTGAAGCTCCCGGCTCGCAGACACGTGCGGCAATGCACGACACATGGCATCACCGCCCAAACAGATTGCGTGAGCAGGCAAATTCATTGACTATGTCCTCACACTCGCTGAGAGTTGAGGAGAAATAAGTTTTACATCACCGCAAAAGCGGCGACAAACACCTGCGGGCCGCAACACTCCAACTGTATGTGCATCTTTCATGAGCAAACCCTTCGATACGCGTGCATGTTCTGCACTTAACCCAGTCCAAAAAGGGTACATTTGATGATCGATCAGTTTCAGCATGCGCTGATGTAGCTCTTGCATTTGAATCATTGGACATCCAACATGTTCTTCCCACTTCCCAACGCTGGCATCACAACACAAACCAAACACGATCTTCGAGCACGCCTCGGCCCAAGATTGCTATGCAACTCCATTGCAACCACTTTTCCTGTGTCTGGGCTGTCTGGACGCCATATGTACACTCGGAATGGCCCTCAGGTTTCAGGCCGGATCCCGACATCCAGATCCTCTAGCCGGGGTCGGTGAACGACCATGCTTCAAACAAACCTCCTTCAAAAACTTTAAGGGAGCGAATTTCCAGGCGGTTCAAACGCATGGATTGCCGCAATGGGAGGGGTGGGGAGCGGCAAGACGCGTGGTTGTTCTTTTGGCCTCCCTCTAAACCCAAAGGGTGCCCTCCAAAAACACACGCACACACACACACACACCCTTACTTCCTATCAGCTCCTTGGCTCTCTCTCGGCATGTCGTTTCAACCAATGGGCCTCACGTGTTTAAAAGCCAGCTCCGTCCCCCTTTCCTAAGCTCCATCCCCTCCGGCGCCTCCGGCGCCTCCGGGTGCAGATATCGGGTGGCTGCCGGGTGGTTGGGCCACTCCATCATCACGGACCTGCGGGCGATGTAGCTCAGCAGCACCTCCCGCAGCCGAAGCTGCGGCTGCCCCGCCAGCAGCAACTCACCCGCCCTCGGAGTGTGGAGCAGAAACCGAGCGGCGGGCCAGTGAAACAAGCCACTGGCAGAGAGCAGCCTAGCCCCTGGCTAGGTCCTCCAGTAGAGAGGTTAGAATAAGGGTGCCAACTATTTTCTGTAGTCTACTTTAGTAGGGCTCCTCCAAAAAAGGGTGGCTTAAGCCACCGGACACAGGTGGTTTGCTACAGGGTTGGGCGATTCAACTCCTTATTCAAGAATGTTGAATTGTTCAACGATGTCATGCCCAAAGACTAGGAGAGAAACATAGCAGAAGCAAATAAGCGGTCGCATGCGGTCGCGATTGTTACGCGTTGAGGGTCAGCAATGAGGCAGCTCATGGGTGTCCAATTGGTTACCCTAGATCCCTGCAACCAAATGAACATGCAGTGGTAAGACTGCAGGATGTAGCTGGTAGTTTAGCTAAGGCGTCGAATATCAAAGGAAATCAGCAATTCCATGGTGGCACTTGCAACACTTCCACGACACTCAAAACTGCACCAGGCATGAGCCAGGCCAAACCAAGGGCTAAGGAGTGCAGAGAAACCCAAAGCTCACGAGACGGCGTGCGCTTGGCGACGAGATGTGGCAGGGTGCAATCGGTCGATTCCACAACCAATTTTGTGTGAAGAAGACTTGTCCATAGGTGGAACATGTCTCAAGGCTGCCTAGTGAACCAGCACACGCAGGGGATACATTTATCTCTCTCTCTCTCTCTATGTATATGTTTTTAAAGATGTACACATGGGGCAAAATGCTGCCCCGAGGCAGCGTAAACCAAACAAGCTTCCCAACGCGTCCGACCCAGCCGGCTACCTGTACCCGCCGGAGCGCATGGTCAAGCGGCTGAAAAGTTGCAGAAAATATCCTGGGCTTTGAGGCCCCCATCCCTCAACACGGATCCTTACATTATCCACCTGAACATTGCCTTGTACATGGTGGTGTCCCTTTACTTTGGTGGAAAAAGCAACATGTTTCAAACGGTTGCAAAATGGAGATCTTTCAAGGAGCCCTGCGCAAGGGACCCCTCTTTTCAGCTCGAGCGAAACAGCGCCCCGCGCCCAATAGCTCACGAGCGTCTGCCGCAACAGCTTCCAGTCTCGAAGCTGTCGGTGGCTGGACTCACCTCGGTGCTTTGTTCATGGGGGCTGGGGGGAGGGAGGGCTGCCTCCCCCTCCCCTCCCTCCCCCCCAGCCCCCATGATTTGTTGATTCCTCGCTAGCGCGAGAATCCCACTGAACTCTACACATCCCAAGGCCTACGAAACCGTGCGGCGCTGCCAAGTCACGCTTTAAGCAGTCCTCCCCGTTCCGCAGCGCAGCGCGCAAGCGCTCTTCCATCGCAGGTTCTGGTGCCGAGTGGTACGCCTGAGCCGGATGAAACAATTGACCTGTGTGCATGTTCCCAAATGGTGGTAGCATGCGCGCTATGAAAGTACGTTCTATTTTTTGGTGGTTGGGGGGGGGGGGTGAAAACCATTGGAACGTCATTACTCATGAGTGTAAGGGATCTGATTCGTGCACTTTGGAATGCTTCCGAGATGGCTGCTCGGGTGCTTACTTACCTACCAGGGGCGACTTGCCGCATGACACGCGAATACTTCTTTCCGCAACATTCTAGGGGTTGATTCCCCATTCTTTTCAACCATCGTTCTTCTCAAGAACCGGATCCGTTTTCCCTGGGGTTCCGGAGGTTCTCTGGCAAGATTCGGATCCCTGGCTTCAGAATGGGGAAGGCACCCTAGACACATGTCCAACTCATGGCACGCCAAGATGCGACCAGCAAAGCTTGCACTTCGAGCTCTGCCAGCTTGTAGCCTGCCATCATTTTTTTGACAAAGGCGCCAGACATTGGCACTCAACGAACCCGGCCCCAACGCCAAAAATCACGTGCCCTGATTCTGTTTCATGTTGTTGTGTATCCCAAACATCGGGAAATTGCATCCGAGGCACCGTCCGAAACTAAGAACGCAGCCATAAGCCCTTCTAATGGAATGCCTGCTGTGATCAAACAGTTGAGAGGCATCCAATGGCAGCCAGCCCAGCATGTTTCTGCAGGTAGCCCTTTGTTGTGGTGATGAGTTAAACTTGAGGAGCGGGTGAACGAAAGCTAGCAGTTGTTGCATGAGATGGGTCGGTGACAGAGTAGATTCATAGGTAGCTTGTGTACAACGAGAGGCCCGGCAAGATTCGTAGGATGCGACACGCAAACGCACATGGTGGCGTGGCAAACCTTGAAAAATAAAAACAACGAGAGGCGTCAGAAGCTGTCTGAAAGCACCTCTGGGTTCTGCATGCTGCGTGTGCACAGATTCTTGCGAGGTGGTTTACCGAGAAGACTGAGGTCTCAAATGAACAAGCTGAATCGGTGGAACATGTAAGAGTTCGTAGCACCAAGTCCAAAACTGGCAAACCGAGACTGCTGAACACTGAGTCACTGCCCGGGGGGGGGGGATGGACCAGGGAGGAATCGAGCCTGAGACCGGGGGGGGGGGGAGGGGGGGGGGTCTAAATAATTGATGTTTTTCAATCTTTCGGCATTTGAGCCCCTTACCTTGCTTACGCAAGGAGAAACTTCAGCTAGCTAAAGCTAGCTTTCGTGATAAGCCCAAAAGGACACCCACCATTTTGAGGGCCCCCAAAAATAGAAAGTGAAGCAACCAGGGCCCCACGCCCTCAACCTTTCAACTCTAGGGCGCTGATCTATCTCTGGGTACGGGTGGGACCCTGACCCGCACTAGCAGCGCGTGGAAATACGGATCGACCACCACAAACTGTCCACACAAAAATGGTGGTGAAAACGCAGGTGGGGCCCAAGTTTATATTACACCCTGTCTAAGATGCTTTCCGCCGCCGAACCACCAAACCCCCAAGGAAACTGGAGAATACAAGCAAGGATGTCGTCTCCCCCTACTTTTGAGCGTTACACACACATTGCATGCCGAAAATCACAGCTTGTAACAAGCTCCTTTTTGCTATTCCCGCTTTTGTACCCCTTTAAAGAATCCAAAAAAAGGGGCCATAGAAGAGGCAAAAGCAACACCAACCCCCTCTCCTGAGGCCCACTGCCAGTTTTTGGAAGGGACCCCATACCTTGTCGTAGTAGAGGATCTTTATGTGGTGGCCCTGGATCTAGTCCGGAGAGTTCCAAGTGTCAATACTGATGGATTGATACTGGATGAGCCCTGGTATCCTGAAAGTGGTCCGCCACGTTTGTAATTGTATGACGGATGCAATGGCTCAGTGAGCTATGTACATCTGAGGTGTGACATGAAAGGCCTTGAGCCAAAATGGTAACGTGTTGCATGGAGATCAATGGGTTCAGAAAACAAACGCAAAACAGACACAAATTTCTTTTGATCTCCAGCACTGAATTAATATTGGCTTATTGGCCTTCGACCGTAGCCATTCAAGTGTGTGCCGTAGCCATGAATGTGCTATCTTGTCAGAATTAAAATACTGTATTAATCCCCTTTTTGGCGCGGATGAAATGTCTTTGTTGGCACAAGGAAAAGAATACGCTGTACTCATTGCGGATATCTAATTGTATCAACAGATGATGTACAATTCTACATGCAGCATCATTGTGAAGCTATTGACCTCTGACAGAATAGTCTTGCTGATGGTGAGGATGAATTGGTAGTCATCCGTAATACTTTTCTCGTGTGATCTCTTTTTCGAGCTTCTGAAAACCCTTCATCGCTTCCACGGATGGTTGCTTGTTTCCGATTGGCAGTCATAGTCGCACCAAGTTGAGGAACCATAGCCTTTCCATCCAGGTTGATCGTAGCCGTAAGCTTTGTTGTACCACGAGCTTCGCCAGGTATTCTCCTTCTTCTTCTGATTGTAGAACGTGTCGACTGTCGTAATCCGTGTTCGGAGTCTCGGATGATCTCGGAAGTGCTCCTCGGAACTCATTACTCTGGTCGATCTCAATCACCACAATTTCCTTGTTGTGTCCATAATTGTCCATAGGTCTGGATGGAAGTTCGTGGTGGCAGTCTCTCGCCGACATAATGCTTGAGGTTTTCCTTGGACATGTGAGGACCTGTCGTCGCCAGGCAGTCGAATGAACATTCCGAATGTGGTTCCCCAGTTTCGGGATCTCGTGGAGATGTATCTTGCCAAATGTTCGACTCTGGCGTGCTTATTGCTACGGACAAAGCATGCGATGGGTCTAGCAGACCATGACTTGATCACAATGCCCTTGTATCCTGAGAGGATGAACAAGCGAATGAGCTCCTTGCATTTTTTCGTCTTGGGGATCGAGAAATGCGTCCGCTTCGTTGAGGCATATGATGTGAGCACTGTTGTGCAGCAGCATCCGCGTGATCCGTCGGTCTTGCATGGGCATGTTTTTCAACTCTCTGCTGTCCAGCTTAGGATTCCTCGTGAGGTTTCCATGATTCATAGTGAGTATGTTGAGGGTCATGGAGGAGTGGCAATCTTGAGCCTGGAGCTTGTCCATCACAGGGTTTTCAGTTGCTTGCATCAAGGATCCGAGATATCCGTGTATGCCTTGATCACATCGGGATCGTCTTGTGTCCTGAGAGATTTCAGTCCAAGTGGCAGTCGAATCGGATACCCGGATGCCGGTTGTGCAGCTCTGTTCTCTTCCATGGATGCCTTGTTGCTGCTGTGGCGAAAGTCGAATACTTCTTCATCAACATGCTCGTCAGGATCGACGTGTCTCTGAAAATCAATCTCACACTGGTTGTCTCAGGGCATCAATCTCACACTGGTTGAGGTCCTTGTGAACCTTTTGCGGATTCTTTTCATACTTTTGCATGAAGTCCTTGAAGCTTTCCTTGGTAATCTTGAGTTCTTCTTCTGCTTCAGTTTTACTCATTTCGCGGTCGAGATCGACCTGCTGGAATTCCTCGTTGAACTCGGCGAGATTGTCAGGATTTAGGTTCTCCATCGTGACCCTGTGTTTGACGACTCTTTCCCTGGCGGGTTCCATTCCTGGCTCATCATCATCGCCCCTGTCAGGCGAACGCCGTCTTTTCTTGGTCTCGGTGGATGCATCCAGGTTCTTCTTCATGTCGATCTGTCTGTTGTGACATACCAGTGGAATGATATTTGATGCGTAATCCTCCGGATCTGCATTGGCATGGCAGCAAATACTGTAGATCTTCGTGCTATAGTCCATGTAGGCACTCTCTGTGTGCTGCCCATATCCTTGGAATGTAGGAGCCCACCAAGCATCGAAGCGTGCCTTTAGCTAGAAAACCTTGTCTCTCTGGTCTCTCTCATCCTCTGGAACGAAGTTGAAATTCGGTTCGTGTTCAGGAATGGTGGAGCATTCCTGGTGTAGCCCTGGATGGATCAGGATGATGGGATTCCCTTCAGGAAGCGAATGGTCATCCTCTCAGGCTTGCTTGATGTGATCCATTTTGATTGATCGGTGGATGGAGGTGTAGTCAAAACTGTTGGGCTTCTGGACAATGGTGCCCGGTTGTCGCGGTAGTTGTCGGACTCTGTCTCCTCATCGATGGCGCCCTGAGGCGATGCCTTGATCTTCGGTGTCAATCGAAGCGCCGGTGAATTCATCGGCATGGCCTGCTGCTTTGGCTGAGAGCTTTCTGCAAGGAGTTGCTCTTTCCTCTTCTCTTCTTCTTCTGTGTCGGATTCTTGCACCGTAGAGTCGGATTCTTGATCGCAATCGGCCTGGTCCATGTCGACATCCTTGGTTGCCTGAACATTGGATGGTGCAGGATCTTCATCGTTCATCTGCTTCGATCATGGGGATGTCATCAAGTTCTTCTTTTTCATCATGGACAATAGAATCCCTCAATGGTGATGCCCTTCTCTTCGATGCAGGCTTCGGTGTCGATGACTTCGGAGGAGCCACAGTCAGAAATTTTGCAGAGATGTCGGGTCCGTGCTCACTCAACCAGGAACGCCTTGTTCTGCAACATGGTACGAAATGGCGGATGCGCGTCGACATTTAACAGATTGCCCGTAAGGACGGCCTTGATGAGCTCGTCTGGCTTAGCTGAGTGTTTTGTCAGCAAATCGGCTTGGCAATCTTCACTTCGTACATGTGCAAGATCATGCATCTGTCCGCTATTGCTTTCCTTTCGCAACATTTGAATGAAGTGCATGGTTTCTTTCTGTTCTGGTTGATGGGTCGTTGATGCTGTCGTGACCGAATTGTTTGCAGCAGTCCTTCGAATGTGAACAGCAATTTCGCCTGTAATGTCTGACCCGAGGCTGTGAAGAAACAAAGCTGAACCGTAACAACGCATGAGTCCATGTAATTCTGCAACAGTTGTGGACATGGTTGTAGCGGTGATCTTATGCGTCTCGTAATCAACCAGTGAACCTCTCGAGTTCGATGTACCTCGTCAGAGATCTCGTTCCTCTGCTAGAAAGATAACATGTGCACGTTGGGACGACTTAATTTCATTGTTGCGGTAGGATGCGTCTGGATAGCCAACTATGCGTGTCTTCCCATAAAGGGGCCAGAATCTCATGCTCTTGATGGTTCTGACTGTCTTATTGATGGCGCGACGTCCGCACTGGTCGGTGATGCTGCCTTGGATGCGCACCTGGAGAGTATTTAGCAAATTTGGAATTGTGCCCGCGATTGTAACCAGTTGATCTGACCTAGAACACTTCTGTATGCGCAGTGCGCATTTGTGGCGTGGGTGGAGTGTCATCTTTCAAGTTCTTGTCGAATGCAATCTCCTGAAGTTCGCTGGTGAAAATTAATGTGCCGAACCAACTTGGAAATCCTTACGAAGTCGTCGCATGATCTCCTTCTCAAACACATCATCACCGGTCATAATAAGATCATCAACATGAAGTGGTAG